TTTTTTTTTTTTTTTTCTTTAGTAAAACTTGGAGCACCTGGGTGGCTCAGTGGTTAAGTGCCTTCAGCTTAGGTCCTGAGCTCCCAGTCCTGGGATAGAGCCCTCCCTCCCTAGTTCCACTCCCTGCCCATCGGGGAGTCTGCTCCCCCTCCTTTTGCCTCTCTCCCTGCTCATGCGATCTCTCTCTGTACCTCTCTACCTCAAATGAATAAATTCAATCTTTAAAAAAAAAAAAAGCACGACTTACTAAATTAATTCATGAACCCATTGGCTTTTTCATTGGAGTTTTGGAAATCCTAACTTAATTTATTGTTTTGATCTCGAGGTTATTGAAGCAATGCCATCAGAAGCCTGTACCTGGTACAGTCCTTTTCCTTGGGTCTCTGAAACAGTACCTTTTTGTTAAGCACACCATCTGGCTCGTAGCTGGTTGCAGGAGCTTTTAGGAAAGCATCAGAGTAAAACCACAACTATCTGTGGATAGCAAAACACGTAAAACCACCACAGTTAAAGATCTGATTAGAGTTTGTTGTAAAAATAATACAGTCGACAGGGAAATTTGCTTGCTTCTGTGACATAGAACATTTTAACATAATAACTAATATTATACCAGGACATATTATAGTGAGACTATTGACAAATTTCTAGGAACTTTATAAAATTTCTAAAATGGTAACATTCTGCCCATACAAATATAACCTAGAGGTTAAATATCTCTTCTTTGACAGTGGTTCCCATGTAATGGGAATAATAATCAAATAAACCTAATTAGTTTAACATCTCTCCTTTTAGAAGGTGAGAGAACAAATCCTCTGAGGTTTCCCAGGGATCCTCTCAGAAAATTCAGTTAGTTTGAGGTCAGGAAGACTTTATTTATAATTCAATTTTGGGAAGTTGTCCAAATTGTTAAATGCTTTAAATATTTAATTACGTAGGATCATAGGTCATTGTAAAACAATACTTAGTTATCCATTTAACCAAAGTGGTGATAAAAAAATTTCAAAGGCAAAGGCAAATGAAAAATAAAGAACCTTACCTCTGAATAGTGAGAAGACTTTGTTCTCTTAAGTAACAAAGGACATGATAAAGACAACATGAAGCACAGGAAATTATTTTGATAAGACACAATATATGCTACCTAGGCAGATTAAAAGGTAAAGAAAAATCTCTCAGTCTTTTATTCAGACTAGACCAATAATCAAAAAAACTTTGTATTTTTTTAACATGTTTTAAAAGATTTTATTTTTATTCATTTATTTGATAGATCACAAGTAAGCAGAGAGGCAGGTAGGGGGTGGGGGGAAGGAAGCAGGCTCCCCACTGAGCAGAAAGCCCCAACGGGCTGATCCCAGGACCTTGAGATCATGACCTGAGCCAAAGGCAGAGGCTTAACCCACTGAGCCACCCAAGAGCCCCAAAACTTAGGTGTTGTTTTTTTAGTTTTATTTATTTATTTGTTAGAGAGCACAAGGAGGAACAAGGGGAAGCAGCAGGCAGAAGGAGAAGAGGCTCCCCACTGAGCTAGGAGCCTGATGTGAACTTGATCCCAAAATCCTGGGATCATGATTTGAGCCGAAGGCAAATGCTTAACTGACTGAGCCACCCAGATATCCCAGAACTTTTAATTTTACCAAGAAAAACAAACTCTGGTTTTGTCAGTACACTACTGAGATTGAAGTTCAAGAGGTGAGGCTGGCTTAGTGAGTGGAGTCTGTGAGTATTGATCTCAGGGCTGTGAATTCAAGCTGCACGTTGGGTTTAGAGATCACTTAAAAAATAATAATAAAATCTTTTTAAAAAATTAAAAAATATGGGACGCCTGGGTGGCTCAGTTGGTTGGACGACTGCCTTCGGCTCAGGTCATGATCCTGGAGTCCTGGGATCGAGTCCCGCATCGGGCTCCCGGCTCCGCAGGGAGTCTGCTTCTCTCTCTGACCTTCTCCTTGCTCATGCTCTCTCTCAGTGTTTCTCTCTCAAATCAATAAACAAAAATCTTAAAAAAAAAATAAAATAAAATAAAAAATAAAGTTCATTTAAAAAAAAAAAAAAACACAGCTATAGGCACACCTGGGTAGCTCATTTAAGCGCCTGCCTCAGACTCAGGTCATGATCCCAGAGTCCTGGGATGGAGTGCCCTCAGCAGGAAGCCTGCTTCTCCCTCTCCCTCTGCATTCCCCCTCTTGTGCTCTCTGGCTCTCTATCTCTATCTCTCTGTCAAATAAATAAATAAAATCTTTAAAAACACAAAAACAAAAATCAAAAAACAAATAAAATATAATATGTATATAAATCCACTTAATCTTAGCCAGCTTTGACCTCACAACATAAAATTCCTTTTCTACAAACCTTCTACAACTCTCAATATCCATTCATGTTTTCTTCTCTTCTTTCTCTTTCACATTCTACTTTAAGACAAAATTACTCTTTTTTTATCTTAAAGGAAACATACTCTTCATTCTTTACATACTTT